ATAATAAGCCGAATCCAATTTAAAGATTAAGAAACAAGGCAATCTGCAACATTAACTGAATTAGATAATTTTAGCTTAGCTTATACCATCCGTTATACATTAAACGCGCATTCGTAAACGTATTTTGTGCACGCGCACACACATATTCACAGCCGTAAAGGAAGCATGCGCAGAAAGTTTGTAACTTTGAGGTCCGTATTATGGGTGTCCGAATTAACCACTTTTGACTGTATTACACTAAATTAGAGCTGGCACTTTGCTTTTTGTCATCTGGTATTTCTTTTTTTTTTTCTCTCTTTTTTTTTTTTTTTAAATATATATATATAATATATGTATATATTGTTCTGCTGCTCAGTGCAGCTGTCAGCTTCAAAAGTTGTACAGGTTCTGATGGCAGCATCACACTTCTTTAATTTTTTGATATTTCTGGTCTTCTAAATCTTCGGTCATCGTATACATCTGGCATATCTTTCATGAAAGCTTAGTAACCCAACAGACAGTTGTACTACAATCCATTATTTGATCATTAAAATTTTATGCAACACAATGTAAATTTCTGTTGGAATTTAACTCTGTAAATGTTGTTCTAAAATTTGATCTTTTATTTTCTAAAATCACAAACTCCCCCCCCCATATCTTACAGATTCCACTGCATCTTCTAGATATATTTTCTGTACACAAATTATGAAAACATCAGGCTCAAGTTAAATATATATACTGGGTGGCCATAATTAAACTGACAGTGCTCAGTGTTCTGTAGCGCGATCTATTTGCGAGAATGACGCCACATTCTGTAGGAACATTAAACAAGACGGGGGACGAAGGATTCTGCGAAAAAATTAATTAGTTCCAAAAGTCACTGCTAGGGGAATATTTGGCGCTGTGTAATAGAAAATAGAGTGTTAACAAATGCAAATCAATACGGAAATTACCTTTTATTTTGCATTCAAATGAGGTTCAATGTGGCTGCCGTTGTTGTGGACCACATATTGATTCTGTGCACAGTATGCACAACAGCAGAAATTACGAGGGCTATTTTTTTTTCAACCCCCAATGGGCTATAAAGAAAAAATGTGTGAATATACAAAAAAGATTTTATTACCAAAACTAATGTAAAATACAGATTACTTCTCTACATAATCACCTTGACGATTGAGGCATTTGTCATATCTGTGAACAAGCTTTGCAATACCCTCTTCATAAAATGTCCCCGCCAATGATTGGAAATGAGTTGTGACGGTTTCTTTCAGCTCCACGTCAGTTTGGAAGCTCTTTCCGCCCATGAAAGTCACTCAGCGCTAGGTCGGGACTATATGGTGGATATTCGAAAATGTCCCATTGAAATTGCTGAAGGAGCCGTTGGGTTACAGGAACGCTGTGAGGACGGGCACTGTCGTGGATCAGAACAATTCCAGAAGTAAGCATGCCTCTTCATTTGTTCTGAATAGCTCTCCGTAAGCGTCACAAAGTTTTACAATATGAATCTGCATTAACTGTTGTTTTGGCTACATAAACTCCACAAGCAACACACCTTTTTGGTCCCAAAAAACAGTTGCCATAACCTTACAGTTGTTAAAGGTTCTTTTGAATTTTGTCAGTCTCTTTGGAGAATTTGTGTGCATCCACAGTTGAGATTGTCATTTCGTTTAGGGTGTGTCATATTAAACCCATTTCTCATAACCTGTCACAATGAATTTCAAAAACTCTTCTCCGTCAGTAACGTAACGGTCAAGAAACTCAAACGCTGCAACCATTCGGCGAGTTTTGTGGTCATCAGTCAACATCTGTGGGACCCAGCGAGCGCAAACTTTTCTGTAGCGCAACTGTTCAGTAACGATAGAGTACAGTGAAGATCTTGAAACTTCCAGAAATTTCATCGATAATTCACTTATGGTGAACAATTCGATTTTGCTTAACGGCTTGGTCAACTCGTTGAACAATGTCGTCTGTAGCAACAGACTTGCGTCCTTGACCCCCTTCATCATGCACATCACTTCGTCCATTTTTAAAATTTCGACACCATTGACGAACAACGCCATCACTCATAAAGCTGTTTCCATACACTCGACTCATTTTTCGATGAATTTCCGCTGCACTGTTCCCTTCTGCCTGCAAGAAGCGAATAACAGCTCGCAATTCACACTTGGCGGGAGAATCAATAGCGACAGCCATGTTTACGTGACTGCAACTCAACAGAAAATGGCGTGTTGAATACGCCAGTGACAGAGCGTGTGGAGGGGGGAGATGCGCAGTCACTTACTATGCACACCAACCACCTGCCGCATACCTGGCCATCATACTGTGTGATCGGAGGTTGAAAAAATAACAACCGACGTAACATGTCTGCATGAATCTTCCGTACAGTCCGTGATATGTTATCCTTCAACGTAGCCAGGTCCTGGACCACTCCTTGATAGACCTTGGACTTAAGGTAACCCCATAGCCAGAAGTCGCATGGGGTAAGATCAGGCGACCGAGGTGGCCATGCAGTTGGAAAGTAGCGGCTAATGACTTTTTCTGTTGTGAATTTCTGTCGTAGCATCTGTTGCACCCGTACAGCAACGTGTGGAGGGGCTCTTTCTTGCATGAAAATTATTTCCTCCAGGCATTATCTTTGCTGAAGTGCCGGAATGACAAAGCTGTTCAACATGTGGCGATATTTCTTTCTGGTAACAGAACAGGTTTCTGGCCCTGTCGGGGTAATATTCTCATAAAAGAATGGACCTACGATAAATTGCGCTGTGAACCCACACCAAACAGTTATCTTTGGTGAATGTAAGGGAATTGCTGTGAGTGCATGTGGTGGTTTGTCATCCCAAATTCGGCAGTTCTGAGTATTCACAGTTCCATTCAGGTAAAAGTGGGCCTCGTCTCCCCATAAGATTTTCTACGGCCAAGCATCATCCACCTCCATTCTGACAAGAAAGAGAGCAAAAGTCAATCGCTTATCATGGTCGGGATACAGTAACTCCTGTACAAGGCTGATCTTGTATGGATAAAAGTTGATAATCTTTCGTAAGATTTTCCATACCGTACTGTAAGGCATATCCATATTCCGAGCTACTCCATGAGCGCTAGAGGTGGCAGCAATATTATCTGGTCCTCTGTCGACAATCGCCGTGGCAACTGCTTCAATTATATCCTGTGGTACAGGTTTTCGTCCTCTGCCTGACTGAACCTTCAGAGAACCTGTTTTCTCAGATGTCGCAACAATTGCTTTTAGCCCATTAACTGACGCAGGACCATTACCTTTAGGCATTTTTTTGTGCGTTCTAAAAGTATGAAGAGCGGCTGACACGTTGCACTGGTTGAGGTAAAAGAATTTGACCAGCAACGCACGCTCGACTAAAGAAGGAGATATTGCACATAAACTTTCAATCCGATTGATTCGAAACATAACACATTGCCTTTTAAAACCCAAGCAGCTGGTACTGTGCGAATGAATGTAACGTGAAATTTGAATAAAGAACTTCTTCTTCTGCTCAGCGTACGTGATATTGCAGATCACGACACTTTATTGGCGTTTATGTAGATTTTACGCTTTTTTAAAAGTGTTGCCATATTGCACTTGAACTAAATCAGAAAATGTGCATAATAAAAGGTAATTTAATTCCATATTAATTTGCATTTGTTAACACTCTATTTTCTATTACACAGCACCAAATATTCCCCTAGCGGTGACTTTTGGAACTAATTTGTTTTTTCGCAGAATGAATCCTTCGTCCCCCGTTTTGTTTTAATCTTCCTACAAAATGTGGCTTGTCAATCGTCATTCTCACAAATAGATCCCGCTACAGAACACTATGAGCACTGTTCAGTTTAATTATGGCCCCCCCCCGGTGTGTGTGTGTGTATATATATATATATATATATATATAAGATTTATTTTAAACTTTTTCACAGTTAGAATTACTTTACTTCAAAATTTAAGACAAGACGCTAATTCATTTGGCTGCCTTTACAAATCTAGACAGTTAACAGTTAGAATAGGTCAATCTGTACACCAGTATGGCAAGAACTTGTTAATTAAACTATTTTGCAGACTTCTGGTGTATCACAAAGGGCATTCACATCAAATACATGTATGTGCATGTCCATATAAAAATTTAATGAGTTAAACTTTCATGCTAGTCTGTTTTTACGAAATAAATTCATTAAAACTGTTACAGGTATGTTTTCTTTCTATACCATTAGTTTTGATTTACTCTGTGTTTGAAAAACAGTTCAAAATTCAACAGCCATGGCTGGAGTTAGACTGTAGATAGTTCAAATATATGCCTGCCACAGTGTTCATATATCGTGGCAAGCAGATTTATTGGTAATAGGTTATCTATGTTCAGAATTATGGCGATGATTCAAGAGATAATTTTGAGAATTTTCAGTGATGTGCAGTGTACTGATTACTTAAAATGTTGGCAGATTTTGGTGAATTGTCATACTGAAACAGTGCAGCATTCTGAGCCGTCATGAGTGATATCACTGATATTGATGTAACATTCTATTTTTAATGAATTCTTCTATACTGGGCAACATGAAAACTCAACACTCTAAGGTTTTAAATTAAAATGTATAACAATTTCTCAGTTTAGTATTCACCCCAAAATTTGAATAATAGGAATTTTAAATCTTTCTGAAGATTGCCAAAATCTGAGGATTTGAATGCCTTAATCTTGGGGGAGGGGTGATCTGACTAATAATCCAGTTTGCATCAAATGAATTCAGTTATTTAGAATTAGATTTGACCTCACTATGTTAGTCCTCATGTTGATTATTACACAGGAAAACAAGCTTATTAATTTTTATGCAAAAGCCTAAAGAAGTTAATAGCTTATTTTAAAATAATTTTTCTTTTCCAAATAACGGTTTCTAAGCAGTAAGCGCTTCTTATATCACTTATTTTATTCATTTTTAAAAACTGCATATGAGTTAAAGAAAAATGCTTGATTTGTTTTTTAAATTAATGATTTATTCTACATTCAAATGAAAAACCTTTACTTAACTGTAATCATAAAAGACCAATATATATTCTTCCAATTCAGTTTTCTTCATCTAAAACCAAACAATAGTTATAAACATAGAGGGATAAAGGAAACAAGAATAAATGCCTGGAAAAAAAAAAAAAAGAATGAAAGAAAATGCTTGGTTTTTCTACCTAAAAGAAGCAGAGATGTAAGATTTTTTTATTTATATTTATATGTAATCAAGTTAATTACACAAAAATGTAAAATTCCCATTAATTTCTTTTAAGTTTCTTTCAATTCAAAATCTGCCTATATTTCTAAAATGATATCAGTATGGATTTGTGACTCTTGGAAGCTGCAGCTCTAGAAATTTCATGAAATCCACCATGCAGCTTTCATCTTAATGACGTTTGGCTACACCTGGTATATAGCTTGGCAGAGGTAAAAATAGGTCTATATTTCTGCCATTTAGAGGTATCAGATGAACTTACTTTTAATTGCTTACAACAGCTTACATACAACTGTTTACTATGCTTTTTATGTACATACAACTGTTTACTGTGCTTTTTACTTACATACAACTGTTTACTGTGCTTTTTGCTTCTGAAAGTATTGTTATATTTTAAATTTTATCACAGAAGACAGCATTTATGAAATTTATCTGGTTTGTCTAAGAATTTGAAAACGTTTTTTTTGGATTATTTATCGTTTTCATCAGTTGCAAGTTGAATCAGGACAAATTTAATTTTTTCTCAGAAAGTGTCATTTTTGTCGATTGATGATAAATATCAAAATAAATTTTAAAAAATCCTATACTACAAAGAAGACATTAAAAAAAAAAAAAAAAAAAAAAAAAGCAAAAAGCTACTACAGAATATCTGCTTTTTATACTTTGTAGGCGCATTTTCAAAAGATTTCATTTTTATATTTATTTTGAAAGTATTTCATTTTTGCGAAATTTATTTATAAAATTTTACTTGATATTTAAATATCAAATTCAAATTCATAATTTAATACTTTTCTTGGTACTCTTCTGTTATTAGAACCAAATTCAGAAATGCATGTGTGTACAGATGGATGGATATGTGAACATGCATATATGTTTGTACGTACATTTGTGTGTGTTCGCCAATATATGCATACATATACAGCACAAAGTCAATAATCCGGACATCCATTATCTGGAATGATCTATAATCCGGACCTCAAAGCCACGAACATTTTTTTTGTATGCTTTACGCATGCGCATAAAGACCTTACGTGCCCTATACTTCCACAGTCTTCCACCTTGGTTCTTTACTCTTATTAGGTATAGCGCATGCTTTATTTTGTGTGTTAGTACTTGAATAACCCTTATTTTTCTTATCTGGAATGTGAGAATTCAGAAATAGTTTTACACCCATACAAAATAATTTTGTTGCTACTCTGATCCGGTATCCCATTGATTACATAATCAAGAATTGATGAATCGTCAACGGAACTGGGACTGGCTGTTTCACGCATGGCAATTAAATATTCGGAAAGGGATTCACCAGGTTTTAAGTGTTGTTTAATTCCAGACTAAATGAACCGCATTTTTTTCTACTTAGCACGATATTACTTGCGTAATCAGAACAGCTTGGCTTAATGATTTGTTTCTCTAACCATTCCGAAATCTGTTTATCGATTTCAGCTGCTCTTGGGGAGGGGGGGGGGTGGAGTTGATCTGTCAGCACTATCCTCATCTTCAGGACAGATGTTTTTATTTTATTCAGTTTATAATTCCTTACTAAATCTAGTGTTTCATCTCGTTGTACTCCGATATGATTTAAATCAATTTCCTCGTCATTATAAATATCATAATTACACATCAAATAGTTTTCTAGTTGCAATTTTCTAATTTCAACTATGTGTAATGTATGCTTTACGCATGCACATGTTGAAGAAATGTTTAATAAAGTAAACAAATAAATATTAAGCTTTTTTTTAGTTTGATACCCTTTAGATCATAATTGCTCTTTATTTCATAAATTACGGTTTCATATTTTTAATTATATAATTTCTGCATGCCATCTTACCAGATTTAAATTGATGATCTATAATTCGGAAAAACCCCTAATCCGAAATCGCCAAAGTCCCAACGAGTCTGGATTACGGACTTTGTACTGTATATGCACATACATACATACATTTCTGAATCTGCTCCCAATAACAGATTACCTTTCCCTTTTATATCAAATATTTCACAATTTAGATATTTTCTCATTTAAAATCTGGCTAAGACAGCATATTAAATTTTCGGTATTAAATGAAAATTTTGAATGCTTGTATTTAATCCCTTGAACAATTCTCTACAGTTTTATATGAAATACATTCACGCATGATAGAAAAATTAACATATTAGTATAGTTACATACATTAATTAAAAAGTAATATGTTTTTATTAGTAATATAGATTTCAAGCTAATTTCATTTTAAGATTTTGTAAAGTTGTGGTTTCATTACTTACATGCATTGAATTTCAAGAAATTTTGATGAATTGTATAAATACTATATGAGGACAAAATTACATTAACCCATCAGTTAACATCCTTCTCATTAAATTTGAAATTGTATTAAATTTTTTACTTTCATTGTTCAATGTTTCATTGTTTTAATTAAAATTATGATTATATATAATACCATTTAAATATATAATTATGTTTACTTACAAACTTGTATACTTTTACATTTGTCTATTATGTTAGTCTATATTTTAGGGTGCCCCTTGAATTATTGCCAAGTTGTTTCATTTATAGTAACCTGAGTAGTTGAATTTTATGAAAATCCTACTATGACGTGATTGGTTGCACGGCTGCAGTGAATTTGACTTATGGGAAAATTTTTGTAAGGACTTATTTAAGTGTTAGATACTGGTTATGATGTATGTTGCTTACTTTATATTTTATGCCATAAAATGCGTGCTGTTGGTATGATTAACGTGAGGTTTCCGTACACTTGAGAACGACTGAGAAAGAAAACATTGATTGACTGGTGTATAAATGACAAATGGTTTTGGCACAAAAATCACATTTCCCCCTCCCCGTCTTTTCAGTTTCCTGTGATTCATACTGCTTTACCTGCTAATGCTTTAATGCTGCATTATCCTCCCCCCACACACACACACATTCCTGTATAAAATCTGCTTATTCAGGTCCCCTCTACCTGTCTTTACATTTTTGAGATATAGTTTTGAACCACCCTGTATATTATGTTTCTAATTAGAGAAAAATATCAACTTTAAAAATAGTGATTTGTTTATATATAATGCTGCATACAGCACACTACAATTTTTTATTGATGATAAAGTTGGTTTTTTATTTTGACTTTATTTAAAATAGTTTAATACCTGGAATACAAACCAGGTAGTTATGCATATAAGCAAATTCTGACATTTAAGTGACAGATACATGACAACTGCAAAAATTTAAATTCTAGAGCTGCTTTGATTTTGTATTTATCCTTTTACTTTTGTTGGTGTTACCACTGCTATTTACATGAAACTTAGCTATCAAAGGTAGTGTATAATTTGTTCCCACATATACGTAATTTTCTTAAAATTTTTTATATGGTGCACCAATTCTGTACCAAAAAAAAAAAAAAAAAAAAAAAAAAAAAAAAACTGGGTGGATTCCCTTCCCAAACCATGCCAAATCAAAAATTTTTCAAGCAAAAGCACTACATAACATTTTTTTTCGCAGATATTGAATCACTGGCATTTTCATGAAACTTGCTTTTAAATCAAACATCTACTTACATATTTTAATGTACTTTTTTAGGAAATTTGTTGCTAAAAAATTATTTCTAGTAATGTAACATACGAATTTTTACAATATATTTTAATAAATTATCAAATGCTGTTCTCGCAGTTTCTCATTGCAAATCTATTGCAGTCGATTTTGTTTTTAATATTTAGGTTACTTTTCAACATATCACTAAAAATTATAAGACATTTTCAAGAGCTTACAGTCAATCTAAAGTTTAAATCACGTATGTCTAGTAAATGTTACCTATTTGTTATGATTCGAAATTTAAGCAATTGTTTTTAAACATATAACTAACAATGATAATTAATAGTATTAATCGCTTATTTTTCGTTGGGTTTAAAATTGGTTAAAAAAAAAAAAAAACTATTGAGAAACATCTGACGGAAATACTTCAGCTAAACGCAATGTTCGTTAAAAAAACAAATAATACCTTCAAATTTGAGCTTTCAGTTTGAATTTTAATTCAAAAGTATGATAACTTGCATAATAAAATAATATTAAACACAGTTAAGCAAATTTCCCCAAAATCTAATTAGATTATCGAATTAGGGACTACTCACACAAAGAGATATGCATCTTAAAATAGCTGAAACTCAATTATTCTGACAAAGTTATAATATGAAAACTAAAACAAACAAAATATTAATCAAATTTATGCGCAGCAAAACTCAGAAAAAGAACATGCCATTAACATTTATATTACTGCAAAAAATCATGCAGACACCGCCTGCTGTAAGCACTTTCTTAGAAAAGGGCCAGATTGCAAAGCTTAAATTTATTACAATAACGTCATGAATTATTAAAATAAGATTGTTATACCCCATAGCAAGAACATGTTACTTGTTTTATAACTCCTTGTCCATCTTTTTTCCATAAAATTAATTTAATAACTAAACATACTACACGCATCGCTCAGTTGCCAGAGTCAATGTTCTGATAGGTTAAATGGATGATCATCCGATCACATATAGACAGATGGTAGGGGTGGGTGGTCATTGCACTTGAAACAATGGAACAGTCATTGAGTTCGTGAAACAAGCATTTTCAAATTAGAAACTTTGTCCTTCATTAATTTGATTTAATTAAGGTCATTAATTTCTTTAAAGTAAATAGAAATTATAGAAAAGACAGAAAAAATTCTCATACGAATAAATTATTGAGCTAAAAGTACACTACTCAGTTAGTTACGGTAGTATAGAAAATATAATGCAAAATGTAAAAATATTGTTATTTGAAGAAATTAAAGCAAAATACATCTCTCAAAGAATCAATATTTAATTTCATAAAACGAGCTTCATTAAAATGCTATAGTTGTTTTTAACTGCAACCCTTTTATCTATTCTCGCTGCGATTGCGATCAATTCCTTTTACTTCCTTCCTTAGCTCTTTTTCAGTCCCTTTAATTCCTCTTCTAATAATTTCTCCGTCATTTTCACAGTTAACTTTCCTCACGGTTCTTTTCCGCTCGAAAAGTTGCTCCTATTCTCCTCTCGCCACGGGCGGTCGGAGAACTTTTCGCCTTCCTGAATAAACTATCCCCCCCCTCCTCTTCGCTCCTTCTTCCCTGGATTCCAGTTTTAGTCGAAAGACTCTCCCCTCCCCCCCCCCGCTCATCCCCAAGGCATTAGCAATCACTGCGGCTGTCCGTATTACCTAATATTACCTTTCCCAAGCCCTGGAACAACATGTTTCCCGGCTGTTTTCTTCCAACCTTTCCGATTCCATTAACGCAATGCGTTCCGGAATTCGCCTCAACCAACACCTTTCTCTCTTTCAATCTTGAATTACAAGTTGAAAGCAGAGAGAATTACTCGTCCCTTATGTGGACTCCTTATTCATTTCTTTCATTGTAAACCCTTAATGGTTTGTTCATTTTTCCTTTAGCTAATGCTTTTTCTTATTCAACTCAGTTTCCTTATCGAAGTTGTGGAGGTAATTGCATTAAGTTGCAAAGGTACTCCGGAAGTCAAACGTCTTGGGCCTTGGGCCGAGGCAAGTCAAAAGTTTAATCGTGACCGTCATAATGAAAATAAAAACACATGGTAATTAGCATGGTAACTGAAAACATGGCGATTTCTGCTGACCGGAGGTCTGCGATACGGGCGGCTAAAACCCGCCGGGAACTGAAGAAATTCAACCAATCAGAATAAGCTACCGCCGGAGACTGTTTTTGGCGACCAATTTTTATGCCAGCAATTGAAGGGTTTGTTTTGGATTTATTTTCCGCTCATATTCCTCTTTTCGTATCTTTTGATTACGTCTTTTCGCATCAATTTATAATAGTTTTCTAACTTTTATTACTATAAAAGACAATGTAGTGAATACGGAAAATTCGGTGCATTATCACGTGAAATGTGTAATAAAATTTCTAGCCTGTTTCCCGCAAAAGGTGTACGGTGTTGTATCGCAAAAGTTTTATGCTAAATTGTACATTTCACTTTATTTTGTGGCACTGAAAATTACAGAAAGAATTTTTTTTTGATCATCAAGAAAAAATGCACATGAAAAAGGCTTATTAATTGGGCCTGTGTGCAGAAGATTGTTGCTGTTTTTTTCTTTCTTAATATATATAATATATATATAAGTATTTAATTAGGTACTCAAATTTAGCCAACAAAGCCACATGCAGAACATATATATATATATGTATTAGAAGATTCCTAAATAATAATAAATAATTTGATTGAACTTTTTCTAAAATGCATTACGTTTTTGTGTGATATTTGATTTTTAAGAAATGTAGCATGTTGAATAAATTGATAGTAAAAATCTCAAATGTACTGTATTTTTGGCTGGTCTGATGATCTGTATAAAATGGTAAATGAAAAACAAAGTATTTGTACCCAATATTAAGTCTGATCTGCAAACAAGATTACTGTGGCTGCGGAAACCGACATGCCAGTGAAATATATGTGTCATGTAGATATTACACAAAATACGTCAGCTAGAGTACTCTTATCAAGCAGTATGGAGACAGGTACCATATAACTAAATATGTACATATCAAACATTTGTAATTATGTATTTTAAAGTTATAGGCTTCCAATACAATTAGAATTTATATTTTTGTAATACTTATGAGTCTTCTCTGAAACATACTTATTTTGCTTAAATCTACTTCCAAAGTACTTTATTTTTGATACAACCCCATGGTTTAGAAAAATTAATGTTTCTGACATTCAAGAGCAGATAAAAGTCATACTTAACTGACAAAAACATATAAAATTAAAGTAAGGCAAAAAATAGCAGCTTAACATAAAATCTTGTGTCAGTTTTAAGAATAACTGACGTAGGTCCCTCTTCTTCAATAAAAAATGAAAAAAGGTTTTTATTCCTGGCCTTTTGAAGAACAGATATCAGATAACACTCAAAATTAATAAGAATTATACAAATTCTGCATCATTCTAAGCCTTCTTGATTTATTTTAATCTTGAAATTCATGACCTGACAAATTTTGTGACAACTATATATTTTTGAGAAACTGGGACCACAGGTGGATTTGTTCGAACAGCATTCCATGTTCTTCGATTACATGCTCGAAATGACTCTGCATGAAAAATTTACAAATTAAATTCGTCAAAAGTGAAATCTAATGCACTCAGTAAATTTGTTTTTTCTGTGTGAGGAAATCAGCTTTTTCATTACCATCAGTTCTACAATGGAAATGAGCCTGCTTGGCAATTAGTCTGAGTTGAAAGTGTCTTAAAATTTCTAAAGATGTCTGCAAATATAGCTTTGATATATATACAAGAGAAATCTATTTAGCCTATTCTTAGTATCAGTAATATTAGGTGTTTTCAACATTAAATGGGGTACAAAAAGTCCATTATGATATCTTCAGTGATGAGATGTACGAAGTTTCCACGCGTCCTTTGCTCAATTTGTCCTTTGTTCTTTTTGTTTGCTTATTACTTATTCCAGGGAAAAACGTCTTGCATGTTGTAACCGTACTTTAACATGCGTTAAATTTTACATTAAAACATGAAATATAAATAAATTATTTTAGGATTTCCATCGAGATGGTTTTAACATGAAAACTGCATAATGGAATTCCTAATAGTGTAAAGAAAGGTATACAGTCAAAAGTCTTTAATCCGGACTCGTCGGGACTTCGGCGATTCCGGATTATCGATTTTTCCGGATTATAGATCATCAGTTTAATCTGGTAAGATGGCATGCAGAAATTATAAAATTAAAAATATGAAACCGTAATTTATAAAATAATGAGCAATTATGATCTAAAGGGTATCAAAATTTACCAAAAAAGAAGCCTAATATTTATTTGTTTACTTTATTAAACATTTCTTTCAACTCGCGGATGCTTAAAGCATACCTTACGCATAGCCGAAATTAGAAAATTGCAACCAGAAAAACTATTTGATTTGTATTCGTGATATTTATAATGACGACGAATTTGATTTAAATCATATCAAAGACGGATTTAGTACACCGAAATTAAATACTACATTTAGTAAGGAATTATAAGCCGAATAAAATAAAAACACATCTGCCCTGAAGATAACGATAGTGTTGACAAATCAACTTCCAGTTCATTGCGCGCCTCGACGTCCCCCCCCCCCGCGCAGAGCAGCGTGAGATTGATAAACAGAATTCGGAACGGTTAGATAAACAAAGAATATGCCTTTATCCATTTTTTGTAGCAATTCGTTTTTTGTTTGATGGACATCGAAACATACTTTCGTTTTCTAGATCCTTTGGGAGCTCCAGCATCGGAAATTCTATTTGACATAATCGAAAGTTCAAGCTTACTTTTAGAAAATTGCTCTTACAGTCTGCAAAAAATAATAAGCCGGATTCAATTCAAAGATTAAGGAACAACGCAATCTTAAACATTAAATGAAATAAATAATTTTAGCTTAGCTTATACCGTCCATTATATATTAAACGCGCATGCTTTAATGCATGCACAGAAAGTTTATAGCTTTGAAGTCCGGATTATGGACGTCCGGATTAAAGACTTTTGACTGTATATAAGAAAGAGTATTACAAAGTTGTTGAAATGTTACACACATCCCTGTATATTGATTTAATTTCTGATTAATGTAATCTTCAAATCAGTTCCCATTTATAGCTCAGAGAGCTAAGAGATCACAATGTGAGCTTATGCAATTAAGGCTGTATGTATTGCCTTGTGTAAAGTAAAGAAAAGTTATTGGGTATCGAGTTAGCCAATCGAGTGGAATATAAAGTTGTATTTGTTTTCGAAATTGAGATTTACATACTTCACTTATCGCTTCTACAGTAAATTAATTTAAATATTAAATCATATCAGGGCAACACAAAATAACCAAAACCAATGAAATACGAACAAGTTACCATAACATTAACAACTGCTTTCTTGTATACCAGTTTTGCACAAAAATTGCGTTTGGCGATCGGAAAATGACGCCAAAAGTTCCTGGCGCAACGGTTGTCTCTGATTGGTTGAATTTCTCCAGTTCCCGGCGGGTTTTAGCCGCCCGTTCTGCGATCACCGAGGCAAGCGGCAGCACGATCGCTGCGCTCCGTAAAAAAGTGCAAAAATTTCCTTTCCTCTTGGTGATTATCAATTAAATTTCTTTGAAAAATGGTTTTTTTTTCTACAACACCTATATCATTGCAATGAATTTCGACTCCGATGTTGACGAGAATAAAACAGCGAACAATGTAAGGATATACTCCAAAAGCCTGGAATTTAAGATAAGTACTTTTCTTTCATCTAAACTAAATCAAATTTCTATAAATAAGTGCCTTAAATCAAAAATCTTAATTTTCATCAGTTTTTAGCATTAAACAATACTTGAAATTGCTCATTGCTTGTGGCTTCCTTTGTGTTACAATTCCAAACAGACGCCAACGTTATCATTTCGCGTCTGTCACCACCTACAAAGCCCCCCCCTTATCTTGTTTTGAAG